GGTTAAGCGTCCGACTTTCGCTTAGGTCATGATCTCGCGGTTCGTGGGTTCGAGCCCCGCGTCGGGCTCTGTGCTGACTGCCAGCTCAGAGCCTGGAGCCTGTTTCAGAGTCTGTGACTCCCTCTCTCTCTGACCCTCCCCTGCTCACGCTCTCTCTCTCTCTCCTAGAAATAAATAAAACATTAAAAAAAATTTTAAAATATGCATTTCCTTGATGCTCAGTTAAGATGAGCACCTTTTCCTATGTATAATACATGGTCAGTGAGTATTTGAATATACTTTTTTGCAAAGTGCCTATTAAGTCTCGTGCCCATATTTCTATTGGGTTCTTTGTTGTTACGGATTTGTTTGATTCTGAATTTGAATCATTTGTTGGATACACATCCTGCAGATGTTTTCTCATACTCTGTGGCTTGCTGTTTCACTCACTTAATGATGTCCTTGATGAAGAAAAGTTGCGAGTTGTAACGTCTTCCAATTCATCAGTGTTTTCCTTTATCATTAGTGCTGTTGGAGTCTTGGTGAAGAAAAAGTCACCTACACTAAGGCCATGCAGATATTTTCCTATGTTTTCCTTTACAAGTCATATTAGTTTACCTTATGCATTTAGATTTAAATTTCATCCGGAATTGACTTCTGAAACAAAATGTGGTATATCCGTTCAGTGGAAATTATTTAGCTAGAAAAGGGAATCAAACATTGATACATGCTATGACATGGACACACCTCAAAAAACAATGTGTTGGGGCCCCTGGGTGACTCAGTTGGTTGAGCATCCGACTTCGGCTCAGGTAATGATCTCGCACTCTGTGAGTTCGAGCCCCGCATTGGGCTCTGTGCTGATAGCTCAGAGCCTGGAGCCTGCTTTGGATTCTGTGTCTCCCTCTCTCTCTGCCCCTTCCCCACTCACACTCTGTCTCTCTCTCAAAAATAAGTAAACATTTTTTTAAAAGTTTAAAAACAAAACAAAACAATGTGTTGAACAGGCACCAAAGCTCACACACTGTATAGTTCTATTTACATGAAATTTTCAGTCTAGGTAAATCCATAGAGACAGAAAACAGATTACTGGTTGCCAGAGGCTGGGGAGGATGGGAATCTCCTTCGGAGTAATGAGAATGTTTTCTTTATTTTTTAAATGCTTTTTAAAAATTTTATTTATTTCTGAGAGAGAGAGACAGAGAGAGAGTGTGTGAGCAGGGGAGGATCAGAGAGAGAGGGAGATACAGAATCTGAAGCAGGCTCCAGGTTCTGAGCTAGCTGTCAGCACAGAGCCTGATGCGGGGCTCGAACACATGAACCATGAGATCATGACCTGAGCCGATGTCAGACGCTTAACTGACTGAGCCACCCAGGTGCCCCATTTTCAAAAAAAAATTTTAATGTTTTCTTTAATTTTTTTTTTTTATTTCTGAGAGAGACAGAGACAGTGTGAGCAGGAGAGAGTCAAAGAGAGAGGGAGATACAGGATCTGAAGCAGGCTCCAGGCTCTGAGCTAGCTGTCAGCACAGAGCCCGACATGGGGCTCAAAACCTTGAACCATGAGATCATGACCTGAGCCGAAGTTGGACGCTCAACCGACTGAGCCACCCAGGCGCCCCATGTGCCCTGTTTTCAAAGTAGATGTGATGGATGCACAACATAGTGAGGGTACTAAATGCTACTTGATTGTACACTTGTTTTTGAGTTCCATCCACGTTGTAGCATGTATCAGTTCATTCCTTTTTAGGCTGAATTATGTTCCACTGAGTAGATATACCATATTTTGTTTATTTAATCTACCATTGAAAGACATTTGGGTAATTTTCATCTTTTGACTTTGTGAATAGCACTCTATGAAAATTCATGTACAAGTATTTGTTTGGATGCCTGTTTTCAAAATAATTGAAAATACCAAATCTTTCAGGTATATACCTAGGAGCAGGGTTCCTGGGTCATTTGGTAATTGTATGTTTGATTTTCTGAGGAACCTCCAAATGATTTTCCACAGTTGCACCATTTTACATTCCTACCAGAAAGTACAAGTGTTCCAATTTCTCCACGTCCTCACCAAGACTTGTTAATTTGCATTCATTTTTAATTATAGCTATCCTAGTGGGTGTGAGCGTTTGTGGCTTTTAGTTGCATTTCCCCAATGACTGATAACGTTGAGTATCTTTTCATGTGCTTGTTGGCCATATGTATATATTCTTTGAAGAGATGTCTGTTTGATCTTTTTGCCCACTTGTTAATTGGGTGATTTGTCTTTTTATAGTTGAATAGTAATAGTTCTTTTTATATTCTGGATAATTGGCCCTTATCATTTATATGGTTTGCAAATATTTTTTCCCATTCTGGAGAAATGCATCTCTTTCTTGATACACAAAAGGTGTTACTTTTACTAAAGTCCAAGTTATTTATTTCTCCTTTAGTTGCTTATACTTTTTGGTGTCATATCTTAAAAACTACCGCCATACCCAAGGTCATCAAGATTTGACCTGTGTCTTCCTCAGAATTTTAAAGTTTTAGCTCCTTGATCATTTAGCTCTTTGAACACTTTGATCTTTAGCCCCTTTTGAATTAATTTTCGTATATAATGTAAGGAAGGGGTCCAACTTCATCCTTTTTCATGTGGATATCCAGTTGTCTCAGCGTCATTTTTTTTGAAGAGCCAATTTTTCCTCACTGAATGATCGTGCACCTTTGTAAAAAAAATCAGTTGACTGTAGATGTATGGGCTTATTTCTAGACTCACAATTCTATTCCATTTGTCTGTATATGTCCTTATGCCAATACCACACTGTTTTCATTATAATAAATTTTGAAATCAGAAAGTAGCAATCTACCAACATTTTCCTTCTCTTTCAAGGTTTTTTTTGGCTATTCAGGATGTCTTGCAATTTTATATCAATTTAAGGGTTGGTTTTTCTGTTTCTGCATAAATGGTTGTTGTTACTCTAGGGAAATGTTTGTTAACTTTCTTGGTCTTTTCAAAGAGCTACCTATGTGTTTTGTTGATTCACTGTAGTATTTTTCTATTCTCTTTTTATCTTCACTCCAATATTTATTATTTATTTCATTCTACTAGCTTTGTATTTAGTTAGATCTTCTCTTTTTTTGGTTTCTGAAAAGGTAAAGTTAAGTTATTGATTTGAGATATTTCTTCTTTTTTAACGTATATATTTACAGCTTTAAATTTCTTTGCTACATCTCATAAGTTTTGACATGTGATTTTAATTTCATATATCTCATTTCCTTTCTGCTTTCTTCTTTGAATCAATGTTTGTAAGAGTGTGTTATTTAATTTCCACATATTTGTTAATTTTCCAGTTTTCCTTCTGTTACTGACTTACAGCTTCATTTCGTTGTGGTCAGAGAAAATATTTTGTCATTTCAATCATTTAAAATTTATTGGGACTTCATTTAAAAATTGAGTTAAATTTTATTTTAGTAAAATGCTGACGATGAGATCTACCCTCTTAAAAATTGTGAAGTGTAGCTCCAAAGAGGACATCCAGGTGGCCAACAGACACATGAAATGTTGTTCAGCATCACTCATCATCAGCGAAATACAAATCAAAAGCACACTGAGATACCACCTCACGCTGGTCAGAGTGGCTAAAATAAATAAATCAGGAGACTAGCGATGCTGGTGAGGATGTGGAGAAATGGGCACCCTCCTACACTGTTGATGGGAATATAAACTGGTGCAGCCCCTCTGGAAAACAGTGTGGAGGTTCCTCAAAAAATTAACAGTAGAACTCCCCTATGACCCAGCAATAGCACTGCTAGGAATTTACCCAAGGGATACAGGAGTGCTGATGGATAGGGGCACATGGACCCGAATGTTCATAGCAGCACTCTCAACAGTAGCCACAACATGGAAAGAGCCTATGTGTCCATAAACTGATGAATGGATCAAGAAGATGTGGTTTATCTATACAATGGGATATATATGGCAATGAGAAAGAATGAAATCCGGCCACGTGTAGCAACGTGGATGGAACTTGAGGGTGTTATGCTAAGTGAAATCAGTCAGGCAGAGAAAGACAGATACCATATGTTTTCACTCATATGTGGAACAGGAGAAACTTAGCAGAGGACCATGATGGAGGGGAAGGGGAAAAGTAGGGAGAGGGAGGAAGGGAAGCCATAAGAGACTCTTAAATATTGAGAACAAACTGGGGGGTGGGGGAGAGAGGAAGGGGGTGATGGGCATCAAGGAGGCACTTGTTGGGATGAGTGCTGGGTACTATATGGAAACCAACTTGACAATAAACTCTAAAAGAAAAAAATTGTGAAGTGTACATTACATTATTGTTGAATATAAGTACAGTGTTGTACAGTGGATCTCTAGAACTTACGCATCTTGTTTAACTGAAACTTCATGCCCATCGCCTAGCAACTCCCTGGTTCCCCCTACCCCCAGCCCCAGGCAACCACCATTCCACTCTGATTCTGTGAAATTGACTATTTTAGGTGCCTCGTATAAGTGGGATAATATGGTATTTGTCTTTTTGGATAACTGATAAGGCAGTTATCTGATTTAGCATAATGTCCTCATGGTGCATCTGTGTTGTCACATTTTGCAAAATTTCTTTTTGTGTGTGTGGCATTTCTTGAAAAAATAGGGCACAGTTCGCAATTTGCATGTCATTCTTGTGCAGGGGCCATGCTCATCTTCCCTGTATAGGTCCAGTTTTGTTATATGTACTGCTGAAGTGACCACCCTTCTTTTCTTAATGCTGAATGATATTCCATTGCATGCATATACCACATTTTCCTTACTCATCTACCAAGGGACATTGAGGTTATTTCCACATCTTGGCTATTGTGAATAGTGCTTCAATGAACATGGGAGTGCAAATACCTCTTTGAGACCCTGATTTCAGTAATTGTGGATAAATACTCAGAAGTGAGGTTACTGGATCATATGGTGGTTCTATTTTTATTTTTTTGAGAGACCTCCATACTATTTTCCATAATGACTGTACTATTTTGCATTCCCACCAACAGTATGCAAGGGTTCCAATTTCTCTACATCTTTGCCAACCCTTGTTCTTTTCTTTTAAATAATAGCCATTCTGACAGGTGTGAGGTGATACCTCACTGTGGTTTTGATTTACATTTCTCTGATGATCAATAATTTTGAGCATTTCCCCCCATATATCTATTGTTCTATTTGTATGTCTTCTTTGGAGAAATGTCTGTTCAAGTTCTTAGCCCATTTTCTACAAAACACTGATGAAAGAAATTGAAAACCCAAACAAATGGAAAGACACCCCGTGTTCATGGATCAGAAGACTTAATATTGTTTAAATGTCCCTATTTCCCAAAGCAATCCATAGATTCAGTGCAATCCTATCAAAGTCCCTTTAAAAAGTGACTTTTTAAAAATAGAAATAGAAAAAAAATTCTAAAATTCATATGGAACCATAAAAGACAATGAATAGCCAAGTCAATCTGGAGAAAAAAGGACAGAACTGGAGGCATAATTCCTCCTTATTTCAAAATATATTACAAAGCCACAGTAGTCAACACAGTATTGTACTGGTATAAAAGTAGACATACAGACCAGTGGAACAGGATAGAGAGCCTGGAAATAAGCCCATGTATATATGGTAAATTGATTTTTGACGAGGGTGCCATGAATTCACTATGGGGAAGTAATTCTTCAACAATTCTTCAACAAATGGAATTGGCAAAACTGGATATCCACATGCAAAATAATTAAATTGGACCTTATCTTACATCTTATATAAAAATCAACTCACAATGGACTCAAGACAAATGGAAGACTTAAAATAAAACTCCTAGAAGAAAACATGGGGGGAAGCTTCATGACATTGATCTTGGCAATGATTTAACAGATATTACACTAAAAGCACAGGCCACAAAAGCCAAAATAGAGAAGTGGGACTGTATCAAAGTAAAAAGCTTCTGCACAGCAAAGGAATTAACAGAGTTAAAAGGCAACCTATGGAATGAGAGAAAATGTTTGTGAAGAATATAGCTGATAATGGGGTGACATTTAAAATCTTACAACTCAACAGTAAAAAGCTAATAACTCAAAAATTGGGCTACAGACTTGTGAGCTGACATAAAATCTATCCTGAGAAAAGTCCATGTGCACATGATAATGTATGTCCTACTGTTTGGGGATGGAATATATGTCTGCTAGATTAAGTTGATTTATATAGTGTTGTTGAAGTCTTCTATTTCCTTATTGATCTGTCTGGGTGTTCTACCCAGTACTGAAAGTGAGAAGTGAGGTTTTTGAGAATTGTAAAACAATTTCTCCCTTTTATTTTATCAAATATTGCTTCATATATTTTGAGACTCTCTTGTAAGGTGTGAATATATCCATAATCGCTATATTAATTCTTCATAACTTGACTCTTTTATCAATATGTAATGTTATTCTTAGCCTCTTGTAACATGTTTTGATTAAAAATCTATGTTGCCTAATTCTAGCTAGCATAGCCACCTCAGGTCTCTTGATTACAATTTGCATGGAATATCTTTTCCATCCTTTCACTGTAAACTTGTTTTTGTCTTTAGGTCTAAAATGAGAGTCTTGTGGGGCGCCTGGGTGGCTCAGTCGGTTAAGTGTCTGACCTCAGCTCAGGTCGTGGTCTCACTGCTCGTGGGTTTGAGCCCCGTGTCGGGCTCTGTGCTGACAGCTCAGAGCCTGGGGCTTGCTTCAGATTCTGTGTCTCCCTCTCTCTGTAGACCTTGCTCCATTCCCACTCTATCTCTCTTTCTCTCAAAAATGAATAAATGTTAAAAAAATTAAAAATAGATAAAAATAAAAGAGTATCTTGTAAACAGACTCTGTAAGGATCATGGTTTGTTTTTTTAGCCCATTCTATTAATCTCTGCCTTTTAATCGGAGAGTTTTAAACATTTACATTTAAAGTCAATACTGAAGGAAGGACTTCTGCCACTTTATCGTGGTTCTCTATATATCTTATATCTTTTTATTCCTCAGTTCCTCCAATACTGCCTTCTTTTGTATATAATCGATTTTTTGCAGGTACCATTTTGATTGCTTTCTCTTTTCCTGTTCTGTATTTTTAAAGTTATTTTCTTTTCTTTTTAGAGAGAGAGTGTGTGTGCACAAGTAGGGGAGAGGGGCAGAGGGTGGAGGGAGAGAGAATCTTAAGCAGGCTCCATGCTCAGGACAAAGCCCGATGTGGGGCTTGAGCCAAGGACCCTGGGATCACAACCTGAGCTGAAATTATGAGTCGTCTACTCAAGTGACTGAGCCATCCAGACACCCCTTAAAGTTATTTTCTAACTGTTTATTCTGGGGACTACAATTAACATTTTAAACTTTAACAGTCTAGTTTGAATGAATACCAACATAGCCTCAAAAGCATACAAAAGCCTTGCTCCTATACATCCCTGTCCCCACTTCAGTAATTACTGTGACAAATGATATTCCTATATACTGTTTCCATTAACATAGCCTTCTAAGTATTGTTTTATGCATTTGTGTTTTAAATAATGTGGGGGAAATAGAGACATTACAAACCAGAAATATGATGGAATTGTTTTTATATTTACTTGTATTGTTATTTTACCACTGTTCTTTCTTGGTATGACTTTCACTTACTGCCTAGTGTCCTTTCATCTCCGCCAGCAGGACTCAAGTACCTTTCCTGTAAGCAGATCTACTAGCAATGGATTCTCTGAACTTTGTTTTATCCAGGGATGTCTTAATATCTCTTTCCATTTGAAAGCATAGTTTTGCCAGATAGCAACCTCTTGGTTGACAGATTGACAGGTTTTTTTTTTATATTTTTATTTATTTCTAGGAGAGAGAGAGAGAGAGAGAGAACGTGAGCAGGGGAGGGTCAGAGAGAGATGGAGTCACAGATTGAAACAGGCTCCAGGCTCTGAGCTGGCAGTCAGCACAGAGCCCGACGCGGGGCTCGAACCCACGAACCGCGAGATCATGACCTAAGTGAAAGTCGGACGCTTAACCGACTAAGCCACCCAGGCGCCCCTGTTTTTTTTTTTTTTTTTCTGCCAGCACTTTAAATATGTGATCCCACCACCTCCTGGCCTCCGTGGTTTCTTATGAGGAATTGTTCACCATTTGGAAGAACCTTTTACTTAATGAGTCACTTCTTTCTTGCTGCTTTCTTTTTTTAATTTAAATTTATTTATTGATTTTGAGAGAGAGAGAGAGAGAGAGAGAGGTGCCCATTCGTGAATGTGAGTGGGGGAGGGGCAGAGAAAGAAGGAGAGAGAGAATCCCAGCACGAAGCCCAACACAGGCTCCATCCCATGACCCATGAGATCATGACCTGAGCCAAGATCAAGAGTTGGATGCTTAACCGACAGAGCCACCTGGTCGCCCCCACTTTCTTGCTGCTTTTAAGGTTCTCTTTCTCTTTGTCCATATCCAGCTACTCTCTCACCACCAGAGAGTTCGGAGTTAGGTTAAAAAAAAAAAAAAAGGCAAGCACCTTGCACCAGTCCTCAGGGAAACCCCAGACAGGTTAAAGTAGACAAACACAATTCCTTGGGAACAAGGTCTCGTCTGCTCCCTCCAGAACAGGGTACTTACGCCAGGAATGCCAACTATCGTCTTCAAGACTATTGTCAAGGAGGGAGGGGAGTGGGCTGAGGCTCAGTCAAAATGCCACAAAGTTCTCCTATCCTCAGTCTTCTCTTTGTTTTTTTCAGCATTCACTTGGTCGCTAGAAACCTTTATTTCCTAAAGTCTGACAAAGTTAATTCTGATAGTATTTGCCCATTTTCTGTGAAGGGACAGGCCCTTCAAATTCCGTACTCTATTTTTGTTGATGTCACTCTTCTGTATTCTATCTTTCTGTTCTTGCCCATTGTCTATTTTTTCATATTAAAGCCCTTAACCTATTTTTTTTGGAGGAGGAAGAGAGAGGGAAAGGGAGTGAGCAGGGGAGGGTCAGAAAGGGAGACACAGAATCCAAAGCAGGCTTCAGGCTCTGAGCTGTCAGTACAGAGCCCAAGGCAGGGCTCAAACTCAGAAGCTATGAGATCATGACCTGAGCTGAGGTCCAACACTCAATGGACTGAGCCACCCAGGGGCCCCAGCCCTTAACATATGAATCACAGTTATTTTACATTCCCTGTTTGATGATTCTGAAATCTGTACCATGTCTGAATGTTTTTCTGATGTTTGCTTTGTCTCCTTCGACTGTATATTATGGCCTTGCAGCATACACTGTCATTTTTATTGAAAGCTGGAATGATATACTGGATAATAGGAGCTAAGGAAGTATGCCTTTGGTGTGAGGTGTTATCAGTGTGCCTTGGGGTTGGGCTTTGTTTTGCGTTAGTTCTAGTTGTCTAGCTGTAAGTGCCAAGGTTTCAATTTCCTCCAGCATCCTTATCTGTATCTCTCCTGTGGTCTTTGGTCACCCCTAAAACATCCTTCTTAAATAAGAATCTGGGCCTTGCAGCCCTTCCCACTGCAGTATAACAATATAATAGCCCACTGCTATTATTCCAGCCTCCGTTACTGTGGTAGTATTATGCAGAGGAAAGCCAATTGTTCTATAATCTTATATTTAATATCTAACTTTTAGTAGGCCCTATTCCTGGGCTGTGACCTTCACTGGTGTTTCTCGGTATTTTCCCCCCCTTTTTAGTTAAGACTGAAAGTCTAGAGGGCATAGAATTGAGTAATTTCCCTTGTCTCAGGTATAGCAAAACTCTGGTAAAGGCTTTTTCCCT